GGGGGTGAGAGGAAGCACATGTGAGAAGCCTGGAGTGGTCACCAGGCCTTCATCTTAACAGGTGGGTGGGTCTTCCTTCTGAAAGTTTGGGTCATGGTTCTAAGGCCATGAGAAATCTTACCAGCAATGAACTGGGGCAGCTGAAGGGAGGGGGCTATGGCCCTGGCCCCGTGAGAGCAAGAAGGCACATAAGAAAGAGGGATGAGAGGGGAAAGAGAGGACTTACCCAGATGAAGAGCAGACACCGTCCCCAGCAGGACAAGGAGCAGGAGCAGGGGGTGTTTCATATCTACTCGGTCTTGTGCGAGAACACAGCTCCACCTTCCTTCTCCGGGCCGTCCTTGTGTGTCTGGCACAGCCCTGGCACACAGTGTAGACGCAGCGTTTAATCACTTGATTAAAGAGCAAACTGGATTGTTTTCTCCTCCTCCAGTGAACAGATCCTGAGCTGGAGAATGTGGAAAAAGAATGAGGGAGGGGAACTCAGGTACAAAAGTCCCTTTGTCCTCAGAGCTCCATCATTTCTCCCTGGAACCACACTCAGCTCAGACCCCTGTCCCTGCAGGGACAGGTCTGCTCAGGGTCAGGGCTGATTTCGCTCATGCTAGGGAAGGAGGAGGAGGAAGGACAGCGGCCAGCATGGCCCTAAGGACAGGCCTCCTAGGTGTTTGCCATATAGGGTGCTGCTTCCTCCCAGGCCCTAGATAGACCCTTCCTCCTGGGGCAGCCAGGAGAGAACTCACCTCTCAAGAGTCTGAGGCCTCCACTCTCGGTGTCTCTGGCAGCAGGCCCCCAGAAGCAGCCCTTATACTGGGATTTTGGGGAAGTAGGATGATTACCCCAGGCCAGGGTGAGGGGCAGTGGATCTGATAACAAAGTTTGCTCAGTCTTCCCACCCTGGGCCCTGCTCTCTACTGGAACCACAGGGACCTGCCTCCTGGGGCCTCCTGCCCTGCATGGTGCCCGCACACCCGGTTTGCCTAAGAAGGCCCCAGATGTTACACCTATTGTTCAGGCTCGATTATTATTAGTGCCCCGAAGGTGCCCCGGTCTGAACAATACGCCTTAATTTCAAGAGCAGCATCCCACTGACTGTCAGTACCCCGGGCAGTGAGGTGGAGATCCCAGGGAGCTGGCGGAGACCGGGAGGGGGTGAGAGGAAGCACGTGGGAGCCAACCCTTCGTCTTAACAGGTGTGAATAGGTGGGCCATCAGCTCCAGGGCACCCCACCAGAGGCAAGGGGAAGCCTCAGCCTTCCCGAGGGCTATCCACACTGGGTGCTGTATCCCTGACCTTCATCTTCACTCACCACCACCCCAAAATGGCATTCAGAGAGGGAAAGCAACTTGCCAAGGTTGCACAGGAAGTGAAGGAACTAGAATTTCTAAGTCTTTTTAGCTCTCTTTCTCTCTCTCCCTGTCTTTCTCACCTTTAGTGCGTGGAAAACCTGTGCTCTTTCTTTTGTGCTATGAATCTAGATCCAGGTTTCTCAACCTTCATACTATGAATACTTGGGGTCAAGTAACTTTCTGTTGTGGGGGGCTGTCCTGGGGGTGGCAGAAGGTTTAACAACACCCCCTGTCTCTACCCACTACATGTTAGTGGCACCTCCCTCCATTAGGACAATCAAAAACATCTCCACACGTTTCCAGATGTCCTCAGGGGAGCAAAATGACCCTGGCTGAGGGTCACTGGTGTAGAATGTGCCACCTTGTCCAACCTCAAGGCATATCTTCAGGGCTGGCAACGAGGCAGCAGCTGTAACGAAAAGCTTCCTGCAGGGTCTCAGACACTCTGTAGACTCCCTTCCCCTCCCCGCTCACCTCCCATCTCCCCCGTCACCACCAGAGGCTCAGGGCTAGGATGAGGCCAGTGAGGCAAAATTTAAGGGGGTACTAAGAAATTCACTATTCAAGATAAATAATATTTGAATGCAATCTTTCTTAAAGATCGAAATTAATGCAAAACAACTATGATGAACAAAATATCAGAATTTTAACCAATCAAACTCTAGCCAAATGTACTGCAGTTTAAAGAGAGGCCAGCAAGTGATGAGACTTGAACTTCCCGGATCTCTCTGCCAGGAGCCAGCGGACTTGCCGGGGTGGAGGACTCAACTCGGGAAGAGCATATCAGACCCCTGTATTCCAGCCCAGCCCTCCGGGGCTCCTGACAGAAGGGACAAGTAGCCCAGAGGGTGGCAAGGCCTGGAGTCCTTCTTGTCCTCTGCTCTCCCAAGGGACCCACAAATGCACAAGTCAGTCAGAGGTCCCTGCTGGGCCTGATTGCAGAGTAACGGCCTTGATCACTTATCTCTCTGGCCCAACGGACCAGATCCTTTATCTACCTGACGGTGGGAGGATTAGCCAATTCCTGGGCCCAAAAACTCAGTTTCCAGATTTCAAGCTTGAGACCTCCCTAATGGAAGCCCTCTTCCATTAGGTGAGGGTCATTCTTCCCCATCCAGGGGCCCGGGCCAGGGGCACCGTTTCACTTGGTGGTTGGGCTGATCAATAAGGCTGCCACTCTTGCGAGCCAGCGCCGCTATATGCTTTACACATGTCTCCTTTTACAGATGAGGAAATGGTATCTCAGAGAGTTTGAACAAGTTGCTCGAGATCACACAGCAAGTCAGAGACAGGCCTAAACCCAGGTCTTCCAGCTCCTCCTCCACCCTACAGCTGCCGCTCCTCAGCCTCCCCTAACCTCCCTCCTTCCCCAACAGACCATTCCCTCTCTCAGTTGACCCTGTTTCCTTTGCACACAAACCCTGGGCAAAGACATTCCAAGGATGCCAACGACCGTGTCAGTGGCCACAATAATTTCTGTCTGATTTAAAATCAGAAATAACATTTTTGAAGGTCCACCATGGACCAGACATGATTCTTCATGAAGGTTTTTATATTCATTATCCTACTTAATCCTTAAAAGTCATCCTACAAATTTGGTATTGCTGTATCTCATTTACATATGTACTACAAAAGCTCCGGGAGATTAAATGCCCAAGTCTGCACGATGGTACAGTGGTGGTACTACACAAGTGGTACCTTGGACCCTGGTCTGCCTGACTCCCCAGTCCTTGCTTTCTTTGATACACTCAGACGTGTTACCCCAGACAATCTAGCCAATGGTGCCAACGGTGTTGAGGGTGGCCCCCGTGCCGGGTGCTGTTCTGAAAGCTTTACTCACGCTGATCTCGTTAGAAGCAGGCCCTGTCAGTAACCTCAGTTTACAGATGGGAAGACCGAGACACAGGGGGCTGCTCGGAAGCTTGTGATTTCATTATACCTCACACCACACTGCCTCTCAAGATGCCACGGCCCACCTTCTGCATACCGTGGGGCTGGAATGAATCTTGGGATGAGAGGCAGAGTTTGAAACCCTTCTAAACATAAATGCAAACAGTACGCCAGAGACTTCCAGCCGTGGAGGCATCAGGGTTAAAGGAACATGCTTTGGAGCAGATAGAGTCACATCCCAGCACTGGTCAAACGGAGATATTCAGTCTTGCACAAGTCTTTTAACAGGGCGTGACTTTCTGAACCTGGTTCTGTAAAATGGGGATAGTAATTATTGATCACATGATGCCGTCTGTGTACGGTGCCTGCCAGGGCAGGGGATACATTGTGAGTGCTCTGTGAGTGGTAACAACCAGTCGATGTTGTTGTGTTTATGTTACAAACAACTATGTGTTCCTGAATGCCGGGTACTGTCTTGTCATATCCCCTGGCCTCATTTAGAGTCTGACGCATGGCAAGTTGTCTTATATGGGGTTTCCACAGAAGCAGAGACAAGGATTTGAGTGCAAGTAGTTTATTTGGAAGTTGCAGAGACCCTAGGAGGGAGCAGAGAATTCATACAGGGAAGGGAAGTCAGCCAATAAAATGTGTGCTTAAGTCCACTCCCTCAACAGGTCGCTGGAGTTTAATCTCATGGGGAAACCCTGGGGGAGGGTGCCCAGCACATGTCAGATTCATTCCACTGGGGAGGCAAGGGACTGGGGTACCTAAACACTCACTCCTGAGAGTTGTGACTTGTCCCCAGGGACATGTAAATTTCCTTGCATGTCAAACCAACCACACTTCTGGGGCAGGGGAGAGAGAGAAAAGGCCCTCAGACATGGAGATACAAATACAGGCGCTCAGGAATCCACCTAAACCCTTGAAAGGACTGAAAGGTATGGATGGGATCCTGGTAACACCTGCTACACAGGTGCCCGGAAATTGGATGTTCTACGAGGAGAGCTCCGGAGCCCATTCCTCTGTCTCCAAAAGGCTCCATAGACCCCACTCCACCCTTCATTCTCCTCGAGGAGTGGTAACTTCCCACCCTTTCTCTGAAAGGTGTGTCGTCGTCGTCGGGAGGGACAAGGCAGAAAGGTCAAGGGTGAGGGTAAGCAGAATGGATCAATGATCAGAGAAGAAAATAAATCATTTTAATAAAGCAATTTTATTGAAGGGAGGTGGAGGGAGGGGCAGCAGGCAGGGGAAGGGAGGCGGCTGCCCAGGAGGAAGCAGCTCTGGACTCCCAGCTAGAACCAGCTCAGTAGGAACAGAAGGGGAGGCACGCGTTGCAGTCAGACAGACTCCACTGGCCTCCTGCGAAGGCAGAGCAGGAAGATACCTTCAGCCTCTTGTCCACCCCTGCTCTGCCCTCAGGAAGGTCTTCCCCTTGTCCGTCTCCACACCTCGGCGGAGATGGAGTCTAAAGACCCAGGAAGCCTCTCCCGAAAAGGGTCAGGCTCTTCCTAGTGCCTCTTCCGTGGGGCCTTCCCCCGGTTCATCCCCAGCCCACCTCACCTCCGGTATACGTGGACACACATCTGCCACTGAAGACCGAGGGCTGGCTGAGAGCCCAGTACGCAAAGTTCCAGCAGCTGCGGTCAACCCAGTGCAAATGTGTGCAGGGGCCCTGGGGAAGGCAGGAGGGGAAGAGGTGGGCTGGGGAAGGCACAAAGGAAAGGCAGAAAGGCAGAGCTGGCCCTGTCCCCACCACCTCCTCCAGGGGCCCTTGCCTACTGGACCATGACGGACACTGTCCTGGTCATCTGAAATATTGATCCACAGCAATCACCACCATCACGTTCTATGCATCCCGTGGACATGCTCATCCTTCTAGCCCTGACAAGAGGCAGGGCGGGGCTGCCAACCCATCCTAGAGATGAGGAAACAGGCCTGTGGTCTTGCCTAAGTTACGTAGATAGTCAGAGGCAGAGAGGAGCTGGGACCCAAACCTCCTGATTCTAAATCCTGGCGCTTCCCAAAGCTTACGCAGCCCCCTCGGTGTCTCACCCAGGTGTCCACCTATCCCCAAGCCCGCAGGGGATCGTAGAGGAGAAACACAGGCACATCTGCAGCAAGTTGAGCACTTCCTGGGGTCAGGAGGTGCCCCCCACTTAGCGCTTACCCAGCCTGTGGCCACGCCTCCGCTCCAGACTTGACCCTGGTTGAATGAGCGGGCGGGCGGTGGATTCATAAATTAAAGCTGTAGCTGCGGATGGAGGCCAGGGTGCCCCGGTAGCACCTCTGGCAAGTTAACTGCAGGGCAGGATAAAAGGGGAAGAATGGAGTGTCCCTCCCACACGAATTCACATGACCAACGTCTTGGGTCTCTGAGTCTCCCAAATTCATGCCCACCCTCCCCTGCTACAGCCATCTGAAGGCTGGAGACCAAAATGCAACTTCTGTTTGTTTCCATATGGCCCTTCCCTCTCACCCCAATACCTCTGTGGGGCTCAGCTTCTGCTGACACTCCCAGGGCCCTCAGTGGGGAAAAGAATCAGCGATATGAAGGCTGGAGACACATCCCCACATCCCCTGGCCCCAGGCCTCAGCCTCAGCCGCAGACCACTCACCTGAGCATGATTAAAATTCCTGACAGCCATCGCCACGAGGAAGCGGCAGGTCTTGCACCCAGGGCTGCCCACGAGTTTTATTGCATCCTCTTCCTTAGGACGCTGAAGGTCCTTGTCCACCGCATCCAGGGCTGAGGCCGACTCCACAGCCCCCTCGTCTTCCAGGGAATCTTCCCTGCCACAGCTCGCCTCCTCCTCTGTCTCCAACAGCGCTGTCTCCCCAGGAGGGGCCTCCTCGGCCCCCTGTTCTGGCATCTCCCCATCCTGGGGCAGGGTCTTGGCTTCCAAGGTGCTCTCAAAGTTGGGTAGTTTTAGCTCCTGGCAGGAAGAAAAGCCACATGTCCTTCCTTCACATGTTCACATCTTGCCCTGTTCTTCCCAAAGCCACGGACAGCTCCTGCCTGCCTTGCTCTGGGCACCAGAGGGCTCAACGCCGCCTGGAAAAAGGAACCTGGAACAAAGTCTCCACGGGGAGAACCCAACCTCCCCTGCAAGGTCAAGGTGGTTAAGAGCAAAGTTGCTTCATTTATTAGCTTCATTTCTTCATTGGTGAAATGAGTATACAACACTACCGACCTCACGGGGATGCTACAGGGTTAAAGGAGATAATGCACAGAAAATGCTTAGAGCCGTGCATTCAGTAAGCTCAAAGGGAAAGGAAGCCATTGTTATTGTGACCATCATTAGCATCACGTAGAAAGGACAAAATTGGGAATGTCACAGTAGAACCAAGACCGCAGACATAACAGAGGCCCTGAGGAGTCCTTTCAACTCCTGGCCATAGGGTCCGTATCCTTTGAGATGTTCAGAGATTCTGAAATAGGGGATGATCAGAGAAGGGGGTGGGTATGTGACTCTGACCCCGTCTACTATAGAAAGGAACAAAATAGAGGAGCAAAGACTGAAGGCAAAGAACACTTACTCAGATGAAGAGCAGAAACTGCCCCAAATAGAAGAGCCAGAAGTAGGGGGAGTTTCATCTTGGCTTCGTCCTACAATGGAGAACACAGTTTGTCCTTGAAACACACACACACACACACACACACACACACGCACACACGCACACATGGACACACACACACACATTGCAGCCACACTGTTAGGGGACTGTGGGAGTGAGGTGCAGAAAAAGAAGGCATGAATAGAAATCAGGATGGCCCAGAAAAGCTCGTGCTGAGCCCAGCCCTGGACGCTCCAGGACCCGGGATGCAGGGACCTCTTCCGGAATAGAATGAAGTGGCCGAGGCTGGCTTTCCTGCAGGCCTGGAGGTGAAGGAGGGAGTACGATGCGTACTTGTTTGTACTTAATAGTTCCCTCAGAGTCTATGATACAAGACAGGAAGGAGGAGCAATGGTTGTTGGCCTTCCTAGGAACACACAGCACTTAGAAAATGTGTCCCCTCCTCAAAGCTCAAAAAGCCACACATTCCCCTCCCCTCCACCACCACCTGCCTTTTCCAGCCAAGGAGAGCTTTCACGTACCTCAAAGGAATGTGCAAGGCAGAGGATGAGACGTGCTGCCCTGCTGGCAGCTGTAACCTGAAAGCCACGTGCAGACATGCCAACCCTCCAGAACCTGTCAGCCAAAGCCAGGCACCTCCCAGGAGACCGAGCCATCACCACCACTGAAGTCAGCTCCACCTCATCAGAGAAAGCACTCACCTGCCCAGAAGCCGCCCTTGGGTCTTTGGGAATCCTCAGAGCTCAGGCCTCCTTTATTCCATCTCACAAACACGTTGATACGTATGAGGCGTATGAGGCGTTGGAGGAAATTCTGTCCACCCAGGAGGGTTTGCCGCAGAGGGGAAGGAGATGGGAAGGCTGAAAAGAACCATTTCTTCGTTTCCCCTGGGAGCCCACTCATTCATTCACTGCCGTGTTCTCTCCTGACACCCCTTCCAGGACCCTGGGGCCATCTGGAACTGCCCTGGGTCAATGGTTCTTACCCCGGGCTGCACTTCAGAATCTGTTAGGGAGTTTTTCCAAAATACACGTATTTCCTGCTTTACCGGTAGGGATGTGAATTGCCACAGACATTTCGGGAATGAATCTGTCAATATCTATTAGGATTAAAATTCACATATGATCCATTTCACTCTTTGGACACTGAAAAGCACCTATAAGTAAGAAAACTCGTACAAAATTACTTGACTGTTTGTAGAAATGAAAACGATGTGGACAGTGAACTGGGCCATGAATACAATGTGTCCCATCTGTTCTACAGAACATTCTATAGCTATGAAAAGAAGAGCTGAACCTGTATCTATAAACCTGAAGCGAGGGGTCTGCTACGTTATGGAGTGGGGGGAAAGCAAGATACAGAGGAAAACATTTGTATGAGGATAGTTTTACAAAGAGAAAACCCCACGTAAGTGCTTACCTTTGAGCTTCCTTTATACGACTGTTGATAGAGCTGAAACGCCAAAAATGATTCGCACCAGACAGTTGACCCTGGCTCCTCCAGGAGCAAGGGAGGAGGGAGAAGGGAGCTGAGGGAAGTTGTTGTTTTCCTTCTTTTTATAACTTTGCATTTTTCCATGGTTATGATAAATGTGTGCTAAATCTGTAATTTTGGAAGACACCTTATTAAAGATTTATAAAATACACAGATCCCACCCTGGGAAATTCAGATTGGCCAATAGGTCTAGAGTGGAGGGCAGATGTCTACGCTTTGTAAGTTTCCCAGATGATTCTGATGGAAAACGGGTCTGGGACTCACTGTCCCGGGGCTCTCCAAGCACAGCAAATGCTCACGTGTGCCTCACCCCTTTCCCTCCCGACTTGCCCGCTCAGGTGGCCAACTTACCAGCCTTCATTATGGTAACACTTCCTGCGCATTTTTAACTGCTGTGCATGGCAAGTATTATCTTTCTTTTTTTTTTTTTTTGAGACAGAGTCTCACTCTGTTGCCCGGGCTAGAGTGAGTGCCGTGGCGTCAGCCTAGCTCACAGCAACCTCAAACTCCTGGGCTCAAGCGATCCTCCTGCCTCAGCCTCCCGAGTAGCTGGGACTACAGGCATGCGCCACCATGCCTGGCTAATTTTTTCTATATATTTTTAGTTGTCCAATTAATTTCTTTGTATTTTTAGTAGAGACGGGGTCTCGCTCTTGCTCAGGCTGGTTTCGAACTCCTGAGCTCAAACAATCCGCCCGCCTCAGCATCCCAGAGAGCTAGGATTACAGGCGTGAGCCACTGCGCCCCGGCCCAAGTATTATCTTATTTAATCCTCTAAAAATACCAAGTGAGCGTGGTGACTGCTACCTCCATTTTCCAGGTGAGGAAACTAAGGCTCAGGGTGGCTTGTGACCTGTCCCCACTCCCACTGCCCACACTGGAGCAGCTCCCTGCCATGGGCCCTTTTGTAGCTCCAGGGTTTGTCCTTATGGCAGGTAGTTGTTTTGCCTTTTTTGTGAAATTATCTGGTTAATGGATTAACATGCATCTCTCTCCCTAGATGATACACTCCATGACGACAGAGGCCAAGATGCTTCATTCACCAGCCCATCCTTGGTGCCTGGTACAGGGCCTGGCACATAGTAGGTTCTCAATCATTATCCATTGAGTGAATAAATGAATGGTTAAGTCATTTGCTCAGAAGTGGGATTCAAACTCGGTTCTCTCTGGCCCAAACTTCTCTCCCCTCCCATATACTTGCTCTGTATCAAAAACAATGCTGTCCAGGTGGAGACAAAATCAGAGGGAGGCATGGTTCTTGTCCTCAATGTGCTTACTATCTGTTCATAAGGTGAGACAAATCCAGGTGAAACAGGAGGAGAAGGGTTAAGACCCAAGCTAGGAAGCACTCTCCGCCAATTCGGAAGGAGATCCACCCACAGAAAAGGAGGGCAGAAAAAGCTCCCTGAGAACTGTCTGGATGGAAAGGTGTGAATAGGAGGGAAGGACACAGGCTCTCCAGGTAGAAGGAACAGCGTGAGCAAAGGTGTGGGGTGGGAAAAGGTAGGAAAAGGGGGGAAGGATGCATCCCATCGTGAGCCAAGGATGGAGATAGCCTTCCCTTGTCGCCACTGATTGAAAAAGACAGAAGGAGGAACTAAGAGAATACTCAAACAGAGCCCAGACAGATGCTGTGAGCTGGGCTCTGCTCACTCCCATCCCCAGGCCCTCCCTGCAGGACCACTCGGTGCTCTGGGCAGAGCTACGATACTCAGAAAGTGGCGAGATGGGGCCAATTCTTGGAAGCCGGTTGGCTACTCTGGCACCCCCACCTGGGAGCGAAGTCTCTCTTTTAGGTTACAGAATCCAGGGTCTGAAATTCACAGTTTAGTGACCCTGGAAATTCCATTTCATCAACCTTTGGGGGGCGGGTACAGCGCAGTGGCTGAGAGTGTGGGTTCCGGAGTCAGACAGTCTGAGTCAGACTCAGGGTGACTGGGTATACCACTTAATAGCTGTGTGACCCTGGACAAGTTCCTTAACCTCTCTGTACCTCATTATCACCATTTATAAAGTGGAGGTAACAATACTTACCCCACTGGATGGTGAGAGGGACAAATGAGACAAGGCGTAGGTAGCAGACTAGCTGTGAGCTGCCTGGCCGCCTCACCCCTTCCTGCGGTTTCTGGGATTCTTCTTTCTAAAGATCTTGGTGGGGGATGCACATCTCACTGTTGAAGACAAAGTGCCAAATAGATTCCCAGCCTCCTTTGTAGCTAAGGCATACAACTAGGCTCTATCAAAGAGAAACATCCATTCCAGGCTTTCAACCTGGAGCAGGTGACCAAAAACATGGGGGCCAAGAAGACTTTTCTCTTGTGGTGGTGATGATGAGCTCAAGTTCCTGGGACTGCAGTGCCCACCGTGCTAGAGGATGGGCCCAGGGTCCGAGCCCTACATCATGCTCGGTGCCAGCCACAGGGCCTGCATCTCAGCAGCAGCAGTGGGATCCTCCCTAGACCCGTTCTGCAGCCTGGTTTTGGCCCCATATCTGGTTCTCTGGTCCTTCCTGCAATTTTATGAACCATCCCATTTCCTTTCAATAAATTCATTTTTCTACTCATATTAGCCAAGGAGAGTTTCTGTTGCCCGCCACTAAGATCCCTGACTGATACAGCATTTAGCACAGGAGCTGGCATTCAGTTATTGCTCCATAAATGAATGCTATTTATATTATTAGGCCCAGAAGTGATCAGGGTCTTTAGAGTCGACCCACATTAATCAAACTCTCAGGAGACTGATGTCTACCTCTGGTGCCAATGACATAATTTAGGTTGACTTGAACCCACAGTGGTTGCCTGGGCCCGCTAATCAGCACATTCTCTCCCTGCATCACAAGCTACAGTGTGCTCAGTAGACCTGGAGTTTGAGTGGGAGCAGAAAGCTAGAGATCTTGCAGTCCGGTGCATTTGAGCAAGGGGGCCTGATGCCCAACATCTCAACTTCAGCCTCAGACCTTCCTTCTTTCCCAAGAAGAGTTGAATCAACGTTGCAGGATCCCTACTCTTAGGAATCCCCCTTCCTACCCCTGAAGTTGCCGTAGAGCTTGGATGGCCCTAGACACACTCGATCAACCAACTCAATAAGAGTGCTCCCCTGGGGGACCCCGACAGGTCACCTCTGCATTTAATCTTTCCTAATGTCACCCTCAGGGGCTCATCCCAACTTTAGGCTTGTGGGAGAGCTTGCTGTAGCGCCTGCTACAACCTGTCCAGAGGCAGACCTGGCACTGAGGCGTCTGCCCTGCCACAAGAGTGAGCTGCTGCACAAGGTATATGATATGTATGCACCAGGCACTGAGCAGATGTCACCTTGACAATGGTGTCCAATATCAAGGAACTCTGAGTATGTCCCTCCCATGCCCATCTCCCAACACACAGCAGCTTGAAGGCAGAAAACTGCAGCTCCAGATACGTAGCCACGCTATTCGGCATTCAGGATAGGCTTCAGGCACCATGAATTCTGCAATCAGAAACAACATATGGCACGGCCAAGAATGACCTCCCACCCTTCTTCACCAGTAGA